CGTGAAAAGAAGGGAGAAAGAATTAGTCTACATCGTACATAAGTATTAGATACAGCATTTGACAGTTTACATCAAAAACAGTCAAGGAGGGAGGAAGAGGTCTGAAAAGTACCTGGTCCTCCCAGGGGGCGCACAACGACACGACCAAATCACAATCCAGATTCGTGTGTGAAGTCTAGCTGGGAGTAAGAGGTATACGTTGTACCTGACCCTCCCTGGTCCCAACAATGGACCATAATCCATACGGAGAACGAACGAAGTCTAGCTGGTAACAATGGGAACAAAAACGGTGTTGTAAGTTTATAAAAGTACAATCACTAATCGTGCCTGTCGAATGTGATTAAATATAGCCAGATGTACGCTCAGAAAACTGAATACTTTCAACATTCTAACATACATGTACGACCCCCGTGAACAATTTCTACAAGATCTATACACGACTACGTTAACATACAGGCTACAACTTTGCTCAATTACCTTTTTGAAACAGAAGAAAACAATCTTGTGAGTTCAGTAACTTTATTAAAGCGTGTTATAAGTATCGTCAATTATATATGTCTATCAACATTTTTTCTAACCCTAATTGTCTGTGGCCACCTATCGGTAGGATTATTATTATAATTTTCGATATTATTCGATTCGAAACACGATTGTATGTGGACTGTGGTACAGGTCACACATAAGCGATATTTTTTATGCCGAATAGGCTTAACTGTCTGGAATGTGGTACAGTTAAAACATAAGTGATGTTTTCATATCGATAGGCTTAACTGTCTGGAATGTGGTACAGTTAAAACATAAGTGACGTTTTCATATCGAGTAGGCTTAACTGTCTCGAATGTGGTACAGTTAAAACATAAGTGACGTTTTCATATCGAATAGGCTTAACTGTCTCGAATGTGGTACAGTTAAAACATAAATGATGTTTTCATATCGAGTAGGCTTAATTGTCTGGAATGTGGTACAGTTAAAACATAAGTGATGTTTTCATATCGAGTAGGCTTAACTGTCTGGAATGTGGTACAGTTAAAACATAAGTGATGTTTTCATATCGAATCCACCAGCTGCCTCCTGTACGCCATAGACTATTGATATTTTCTTAGTGCAAAGCTACGTAATGAGTTATCTGCACTCTTTCTACCGCAGAGAATCGAACTCCGGATTTTAGCATTGTAAGTCCGTAAACTTACCGCTGACCCACCTCACACAAACAGTCATTTAATTCTGGTAGCGTAACAAGAACTGGCGTGTTTTCAAACTTCTATTAATAAGTTGAATGTATTTCACCCATTACAATGAAAATGAAAGTTTTTTGATTACGTCATAAAAGTGGTCATCTCCTGGATAGGAGATTTAGCCTGAAGATATGAGCACAAGTCCGTCAACATAATATTTAAATGCTAAAGAGAACTACGCAGAAGTTTGATGACAAAAACTACTGTGTGTTATACTAGTTACATTCTTTCGAGGGTAAGCACAGAAATGTTAACAAAAATCTAACGAAAAACGCCATCCTTACTACATGTATTACCACTTACAACAGATTATCTGATTGTCATTTTATTTTTAAGATTAAAGAATACTTCTTGTAGCTTTTAGTTGAATTTCCGTAGACTCGAGTGACGACACCATAGTGCAGTGGAGTTTGTTACTCAGAGAGTTAATTCGTACATTATTAAACGTAAAATAAGACACAATCCAGACAGAGACATCATATTAAAAACAATAAAATGACTTGTCCAAGTCCGACGGTCCTTCGATTTAGTCTTGGTCAAATTTGATGGCAAGGAACCCAATCTTTGAAAATAAAGTTTGGAGACAAAATGTACAACGTTTCGACATCATCGGGTACCTTTGTTGCTTGTAATAGAGTTTCTTTCATTCAAGTAGTCTCCAGACTTTACTCTGGGCCAATTTCTGTATTTGACACTACAAACGGACGAAATAAAACAAATACTTACCAATTGTCACTCTGAATATGAGAATTACGTAGAAACAAACGTAAATCACGTGATATTGTAACAAACAAGGCTTTCGTAGAAATTAAACGTGCATCAGTGCAGTAAGTATTTTACAACTGACCGATAAACTGGTCAAGCACATTATAAACAAAGAACATTTATTCTAACGCGTCTGCTTTCATAACGGTCTTGGTACTGTTTGCGCGGTCCACATCTATGAGTCAACTCTTTACTGGTCGCACCGTTAAGATTTTGAATGTATCTCATCCGGCGGTTCTCGAGCTGTGCTTTGACAACGGTCTTGTTGCTGTTTGAGTGGTCCACATCTATGAGTCAACTCTTTACTGGTCGCACTTACAACCGTTAAGATTTTGAATATATCTCATCCGGCGGTTCTCGAGCTGCTCCTTTTGGCCACACACATGTAATCAGAAGAGGCCCTTAGCAACGAGCTCTCTCTTCGTAGGAAGGAAGGAAGTGTTGGTTGGCGCACGTGATAGTGTAACTTGTTGCCATGGGGTATTATAATACACAAGCAACGAGCTCTCTCTTCGTAGGAAGGAAGGAAGTGTTGGTTGGCGCACGTGATAGTGTAACTTGTT